ATCATGATATTAAAATTCAAATAAGTCATCTTTTTTCCAACATATTGCATGATCTAATATTGTATATGTTTTTTATCTGCAGGTCTGTGGCAGTTTCTTAGGAAACCAATGCAACAGAGTAGAGGACAATAGGAGAATCCACTTTAAGTGCCACATGGATGACCCAGAGATAATACGCAAGGATTATTACTGCAAGTGTGTGAAGTGGATACAAGTGTTAATGCAAAGGCTGACGTGACACCTGCACTAAGTTATCTCTGGTAACTCTGGTAACTTTAGCTCCATACCAACAGAATTTTTTCTCATTTTCAAACTTGTAGTCTTCAGCACCAACTGACTCAAGTGACATCACTTGAGGTAATTAACCAGGCTTTGTGCAGCTCTCTCTGGAGCCACAAAAAGCTTCATTTTTCTCACATATGCAGTAGTGCCTCCCACCACCTTCAAACACACCTTGTAAATTTTAGTTGAGTTCCCCTTTAAGTTCACCGTTATGACCTTCTGTCGGTACCAACTTGTATTTTCTCACCTCAAACAGCCAGGTGATGAGGACCGCGAGGCCGATGGACTGCATGATGTAGTTGTAGTGCTCCAGCAGCGCCTGCCGACACCCTTTCATCCACAGGTTCAGCTCCTCCGTCTGGTGCTCGTAGTTGAAGTGGGCTGTGTTATTGGTGATCTGCTGCTGGATGCAGGGCCGGGGGGAGTTGACGTTGCAGCAGCTGAAGGGGACTCCATCCATCAGGTACTTCCCCTCCACGTTACTCCTTAAGCGACTAGACAGCAGGGAAAAGAAGGAAAAGTTGAGAGTCTGTGTTTATGGATTTGGTGCAAAAATTAGATCTTAGCTTGTCATTGTGAGGGACTGTACGAAAGTGATTAGTGGAGGAGAGAAGATTAAAAAAGGTGGAGATATATACATTTTTTCATTGTGAAAAGAAAGGGTAGTTTGACTTTTTAAAGAGAGCAGGGGACATCCAATAGTGTGCTCAGAAACACGCAGGAGGCAACAACCCTGCCACTAGTACTAGTTGATTTTCCCCGTCAGTCAACCACCAATATGTCACACATGAGAAACATATATTTATAGATATTAGTGATAATTTCTATCAACAGTTGTCTCCCCTTCGCTTAACTGCACATTAAGTTAAAAAATATAAAATGTGTCATAAAGTTGGCCCATTTCATAATATTCTAATTCATGGTGATCCTTCATTTAGTATCTTTTTATTCTAAAATAGAGAGTGGCAGGAATAGTCTTAACTGTGTTATGTTTTCCATGAATCTGGAAATGTATAATTCTACTATTATTGTTAAAATTATTATTAGATTATACTATCTGAAATGTTTTTATGCTTCGCTTCTGTTAGTTACTAAGAATGAAATCCTTATTAAGGATGAAACAAATTTTTTTCCTGTCAGTAATGTCTGTACAGTCCTTTTTCATGTCATTTTATAATCTTTACACATTCAGTTCCAGGTTGCACTTACTCCACCACCTCTTTTTGAGACATGTCCAGGTAACGGTTGCTGATCCACTGGATTTGGAACCAGTCTTTATAGCCGTTGTTGCCACAGCACTGGAAGTCTATCTGCAGCATGTCCAGAGTGCGCTTCAGGAAACATCGTCCTGGTGTGTCCGTGTCCTTGTAGAACCTCATGGCCTCTGTCAGCCCCAGGTTCAGAGACTCCTCCAGCTCCCCACGCATGCTGTAACACATCAGAGCCCCCACCAGCACACAGAAGGTGAAGAAGAAGGTGCATATAATGTAGGGCAGCATGATCAGCTTCCAGCGCAAGAACTTGGTGGTGTCCACACAGTCGTAACAGATCTTCCCACCCAGGAAGTTGATGGCACAGGCGATGAGGCCCACGGCTATAAGCATATTGGGCACATACTGGATGTCCCTCTCAGCCATCAACTCCCCTCGCTTGTTGATCTCAACCTTGAGGAAGAGGCCGAGGCTGAACAGGATGGCCCCTGTCACCACTGAGATCCAGTTGAGGATCCACAGCACCTGGGCCAACTTGTCCCTCTTGGTCTTGGTGAACTTCACCCTCAAGACCGCCATCGTGTATTTATCCGCTGTCAGTTTTTCTTTTAAGTCGGGGAGAGGGGGAGGATTAAGGGTGGGCCACAGGTAGATCAGGGGAGAGGAACAGGTTATCCTCCAGGGGGTGCCGGGGACCAACGGGTGGGGGATTGGTTGTACAGTTCTCTGAAGGTCCTCTCATAAGCAGCTTAGCCTGGTAGTCATGATCAATATCGTGTGGACGCTGCATTATGGTTGTAAAGTAGGTGCTGACAGCTCCGCGAGGCTACAGTGGTGAAAAAAATATTGTCACATTAAAGGCACAATTTCTTGAAATGGGAAACACTGATGAGACGAAATGCAATGACACGTCATCAGTTGTATACAAACAGGAAATAATCTACATGTGAGACGAACGGTTCAACAGCCTATAACGCAGTTGAAAAAACATAAAACCTTCCTTCCTTTAATCCAGTGATTCTTGCATTTCTGTCTAGAGAAAGTTCCCTAAAAGAAAATGTCAGAAATAGCTGACACGATGAAAAACTAAATCCAAGAAATCCACTGCACCTACCTTAGCCTAGTCAGCATTCACCTTGAAAATATGTCATCATTCCCATCATTCATCATTTTCTCATTTTCAGTTTCTTTTCTTGCTGACATCCTCAGATTTAGTCCTGAGAGAGTAGAGTGGCCGTAGTGACACAGATAGTATGGAGGCAGCCACAGCAGCATCAGAGTGAGACTAGTAACCAAGTCCTGACCCTCCTCCTAATCCCCTTTAATCATTAATCAGGCCTGGGCCCCACGAGGGATTTGGACCCACCTTCTGCCACCTATGCAAATCCGACTGTCCCGGAACTGTGAAAGTAATGGCTGACGGCCATTGTGTGTGAATTTGTGTGTGTGTGTGTGTGTGTGTGTGTGTGTGTGTGTTTGTTTTCATTTGAGTCAAAAGTAGTGATATTTTAATTTTAATCTATGCAGCATCACCATGAGTATATGATTTGATTAAGATGGCTTGTAATGAAAAAATACTTTATGCACACAGAAAGAATTTTTTAATTTTTTTAAGTGGTAAAACTTAAATACTATCATGTGTTGCCATGTGATGCTTTTTGTGAACACCACACACAGGATCTGGAGGAGTAAACAGGTCAAAAAGGGTAAGCTAAGGCTTAATGCACACTGACACAGTTCTATAAGAAAAAACTGCTGCTACACTGCACTTGACTGGTGGAAACTTTCCAGTAGGGCTGCATCTAACAATTTTTTTAATAATTTATTTAGTGTTGTGTTTATTCAATGTATGAAAAAGGCTGCTGTAATTTCCCACACTCTTCAGTAATATCTTTGAAATGCTTTGTTTTGTTTAGGCAACAGGTTATAATTAAGTTAATTATCACATAAACAAATAAAAAAAACTAAAAACAATAAATGTTTGGCATTTTTGCCATAAAAATAGTCACACCGATGGCCACGCCCCAACAAGTGATGTCACAGCAGGTGTTTTTGCCAAATTGAAAAAAGTTCTCCTGACATCACTGACCAGGGTGTGGCTGAAAGTGCCAAATGCCTGAAAGATATAAGCAGTGGAGATCAGGTTAAGTTTTCTTCCTTCTGTCACTTAAGAAGTCAATTTTCACCCCCAGCTATCATCTCACCCCTGCTGGTCTTACCTACTCTGTCTCCAACATTCATTTCAACACACACTTGCGCACACATAAATATACACTCAACAGCCACGCTGCAAATCAGCCAATGAAATGTTAACTGAGAGTGAGATTAGTGGATTAACATGTACCAAAGTAGCTTGTGTAAGAAGAGAACGTTACTGTAGCCACCGGACCAGTCAGCAAATCCACAAGGCAGACACACTCACCTCTGCACAGACCAAGAATGAAGATTAACCGAGCTACTATGGACAACTACACCACGTCTCTAAGTAAGTACTGAGAATCCAAGAAGTCTTTATGAATTTCTCTATAGGGGGTCTTCAAAATAATGATCATACTGCTAATATGTTCTCGCACAATCCATTTATCTAATTATGGAAACATGTCTGAGAGGTTTTCCAGGCTTAAGTGCACAAGTGATTTTACCTCTCATTGACATACACTGCATGAGCCTTGGTTGAATCACCTAGTATACAGTGCATAAAGTAAATCATAGATGTTTTCATAAACAACCTTTTTTTTTGTTGCTATAATGAACCATAGGCATCAACAATATTTTTCAGTAATGATACCTTGAGTCCACAACACGAACTGATGACAAGAGGCATCATGTTTGCTTCAGAAGGCCAATGGTCTGAGGCATTGACCAGCAACAACATCAGAGCCATCATCCGCTGGCTACGGACGCTTACAGCTGAAGGTACATTAGGAGCATTTGTAAAGCATGAAATTATGGTTCCGTCCTTTACTCTCTACTTGTTATCTGTAAAGTATTTGATGTTCGATTCAACATTTTATCTCCAATAAGGTGATGTTGACGTGGAGGAAATCCTACTGACTTTTAGCTGCTGGGTACAGAGGACGTCAGAGTTTGCTAAAAAGGAGTTATTAACCTTATGTAAGTTCACATGTCTGTATCAATGATATTAATTAACTGGTTAATATAATTACAAGTTTGCAAGTGGGATCTTTACATCTCTGTTTTGTCTTATTTATTCCTGCAGGCTTCAGTCGTTGCCAAGGTCTATGGATGTTTCTGGACCGGAGCTCTTTCACTCGGGTGCACATGCTGCTCCAGAGACTGAGGAACCTGCTCACGCTGGCCCAGTGGGCGAGGCGGCAGCTCACTTCAGCTCACCTCTGGCACGGTACACTCTTCAGAACACATACAGCGAACAGCTACGGCATCATGATGGTTTAGAATTGCAATCCTAACCATTCATATTTTTGACATGTGTAACCCCTTACTGGAACTTCAGTTTCTATGTCTTTCATGCAGGTGTGGGGTACCCTTGTGTGGTCTGCAGGGACACAGGGGCCTCCTCAGACGTTAGACGTGCCTGCTGGAATCGAGAGCACAGGGCTCTGAAGCAACACATCTGGCTGGGACGGCTGGTTCAGTGGTGGGGCATCATGGGGCTTCTGCCCAAATACCCTGGTACAGATGTCATCACACACCATAATATAGGCATTAGGCACGATTAAATGTTATCACACTTTTACATGTGTTTCTGTTCTCTCCTGTCGCTGTCAGAGGCCCACGAGGTGAAGCGTATCTCTCAGATGTGGAGGGAAATGGAGCACAGCCATCAGAAAGCTTATCTCGTGACACTTGGGTAATTTAGATGATTTGACTTGATGCCGGTGGATTTCAAACCATTCAAAGCTATCTCTCTCCTGCTGAAGTTTCTCTCTTTATTTCCCTGCTGCTTTTCTGTTTCTTTTCATTTGACCAGATGGGAGGAGGGAGGAACGGAAAGATGGATCTCTTTCATACAGGGTATGGTGACTCAGCTGGACAAACAGCACGGGTGCATTTGGACCTCTGAGGACTGCACAGACCAGTGCTATCCTCCTCCTAATCTGCAGGCCCTGCTGAAGCTCGTGCTGGTGCCTCGTATTGACAACATGTCAGTCCAGGCAGTTGTATCCATTCCAATACAGCATCAACAAAGCTTTCTGTAGAGCATATTGTACGTCTCTATGTCTCGCTCTCTGCTCTGTTCTGTTCTGTCCTAGAGATAGACCTTATTTTCAGGTTATATAATTCTTTAACCCATGTGTCGCAGCTCATGTACTTTATCCTGGACATGGCGAATTTCCTACAGTGCAAAAATGACCTCCTTCAATCTTTCTGCCATGCTTTCACAATTCCTTCCAGCTTTTCTCAACAAATCAGGGCCTTCTGGATGCTCGATCATGGAAATGTCAGGGTATGTAACCACAAGACACCCAAGGAGCAAAGCTGATTTTATTCATCGGCTGAGTGACTGATTCTGATTTTGATTAAGTCGTTTTAATGACCATGTAAGTTAACCAGTTAACCATCCAGTTGATCACATTAGCGTCCTTGTTCAAGCGGCCATAGTGGTCTGCAGGGGACACTAATGGGTCGCTTGAGTAGTGCATATGATTAATGTAATAACTCCATTGTGTCATTCATTATTGATTCAACTACAGCAGATCTTTATTTCCGTTGAGGAAACGCTTTAATTAGTGGAAATAGTTTGTGTTTTTTTTGATGATGAAAGCAATTAGCATTTCTAGGAGTTTTTGTTCATCCCACATAATTAAGATTTCTGCTCATAGACAAAACAACAATTTAAATTAAAGGAACAAATAATCTTATAGAAGTAATGTTTGTTATGTTACTCCCTGCCTAGACCTCCATGGAGCTATTGCTGAGCCCCAGGGCTGCTGTCCCCTGGCTCCCTTGGCAGCATCGGTGCATCATCCATTGTCTCCTGACAAGGAAACAGCCTCGCTTGGCATTAAGGTACCTCCAATGGACCAGACCTGCAATAGAGAGCACTGATGATGCCAAGCTCTGTGCAGATGTACTGCTTCAAAACAGGTACATTCTGTATCACTTATGGCCTTCTTGTTGTATCTTAGATTATATATTATTTGCCTTATTATCTTAATGTGTGATGTGGACGATGTGTCTGGTCTCCAGTTGTGTTTCTGAAGCCTGGGCTCTGCTGAAGAGAGGCCACACAGAAAGAGATGACATGGTCACGTACTTCTTGCAGGCTTGTAATGGATTTGGTCTGTGTACAAAGGCTTTAAAGTACATTCCTGCAGGATATAATGTGGGTGAATCTCTTATAATACAACAAAACCTATGTAACACAGATATTCAGCTTTGGAAATGACTTTTTTCTTTTGTGAAAAATCCTCATCATCATTCATATCAGGGTGAAGGAGACAATGTAGATGGGATTGAGACAACAGAGTCACAGTTGCCACTGATGAAAAAAGGTAAGGCAGAGATTGTTAAACAGCATCAGGACTGAATAAAAATGCATTGTTATTAAGAGTGAGTTTTGTTTCAACAGACTGTTCAGGAGGAAGGCCACCCTGCCCGCTGTCTGCCAAACTGTATCAGGCTCAGAGAGTGAACGCAGTGTCTCCAGAGGAACTTGTCAGACTAGTCAGAAAGGCTGTGATGGAAGTGAGAGATCCCCCTCCCAAGCTAAGGTACCGAGGTTGTAGCTGGCATGTGGCTAAGAGGATGATTAAATGTTGAAATATGTTCAGTACCCCAGAGAACACAACAGGTAATTTCCTTATGTTCTTTATTCCAGTGAGGTGGTGTGGCTAGAGCACGCCGAGAGAAAATCGAACAGCAGAAAGATGTCTCTATCAACCCAGGCTCTGCTTCATCTCACACCCAGCCCCTCCCCAATGCACATGGTAGAAGAGCAAACAGAGCAAACAGCCCATGCAGATGAACCAGTGGAGGAACGGCCTCTATATAATGTACACATTTTCATTGTTCCTGCTAAAAAAAATAATTGATTCTTACAACATCTGATTTTGAAATAATGTCCTGTATTGTGTGTCCTTGTCCCAGCGGCAACGTGAGACACACAGGCACATTTCCTCCTCAGAGGATCAGAGCTCTGAGTCCGTCTCCTCCTTCACCTCGGCCTCTTCCTTGTTTCTGGTGAGACGGGGTCATCCATATGTGTATGAAAGCACCTTGACTCTGCAGAGGATCTCTTCTCTTCTCACTGACAGTGAGAACCAAAGCAGGGACGGCGAAGAAGAGGAGAGCAGACCCCCCTCATTGGTTGGTGTCTTGCCAGATTGCCCTGAGATGATTGTGACACCAGAGGGCGCCGCAGACGCCCTGTCCCTCAGCAACTTCAACAAAGATGTTTTGGTGGAGCTGCTTCTTTCGGCAGAAGGTGAGCTTTGTGCTGGATTTTATTTGCACACCATTCATATTAAGAGCGGAAAAGATAAAGACAAACTTCAACTCTTTTCCAGAGGGAGAAGAAGATGTTAAGACAGGTCTCGGTGTTGATGCAGTTTCAGGACCTTTCATGGATGAAACCCTTCCTCTAAATAAGAGGTCAGAGGTCATCTTACCTCACACAATACTTATAGTGTACTTGATGCTGGCAAGTAAATTAAAACTGAGTGATATTTGTTTCTTCCACTTTCAGAATGAATCACCCCCCTCAGTTGTGCAGTATTGAGCTCAGCCAATCAGTGCCATCCCTCTGTGAGCCCCAGCTTGATCTGCTCTCATCTGGCTTTGGTATGTGGCTACATTCAGCTAGAATATAGGTAATATGTGTAGTCTGCTGAATGGTTTATATACTTTAATGTCACTGAATAAACTTGAATCTGCAGACAAACAAGAAAAGAGAAAAGAAATTGTTCACAGTCTCTCACATGTCGCCGAGCTGTGGAGCACTGTGTTGTCACAAGAGGACCAATCAGACGGCATCCCTCTTCAGAGTTTTAGTTTCAGTGAGGCAGCCATGTCTGAGGAACTTCATCAGGTAGGCAATATCTCTCTTTACTGGTACATACTTTAAGTTGATTATTAAGGTAATCTTCAATTTTACACTGTGTGTACTCAGACAGCATGTGAAAATCACCAGCAAGAGGAAGCACTGGGATACTTCAATCAAGACCTCTCCTATCCTCTGCTGAATGACCTCCACTGCAGCCCTCTGTTAGAGGAACCTATAGCCAGCGGCTCAGGGGTCTTAGCAAAGATGGGTGAGTGCGGCAGCTCCCCCCTCACCCCTGTGTGCAGCTTGATGTGGCCTACACAGCTTCAGATCCCTGGTAGCTCTCTGACCCTTAGCCCAACATGCAACATCACCAATGAGAGTCCCTCGAAAGCCCAATTAAAGGCGGATGAACCCTGTGCCCAGAGCACCTCAACCAAGCCCGATCATTACAAGGTGGGCAGCTGGTGGAGAGAGGACATTGAGACCTATAGAGCCTTCGGTAGCCTCTTTCCTTCTACAGAGCCAGGAGCAGCTTTCACATCAGGTGAAGAATAGTGGATGTTTTTTTTTTATAAATTGTAAATAAACAGTAGTATGCATATAAAACCATATATAAGCCTGTGCAACCACATGGTGTATAGTGATAATCAGATATAGGGAAACATGTGCCACTAGTTGCTTTTTTGATATTTACAGCTTTCAAAACATTACAAATAGTCATTAGCATTATGCTAATTGAAAAGCCCATTTATGTCATTTCCAGCAATAGTCTAAGGATGAATAATTTGTGTTTGTGTGTGTGTGTGTGTGTGTGTATGTGTGTTCTGGCCAGACATAATTTTGTGTCAGAGATGCTGCTTTCCGCTGCAGGGTGCAGGATGCATGTACATGTACCAAAGGCAGGGGGTCTTGGCTGCTAGGAGAGGGAGACTTGTGAGGAAGTGAAGTGTCAGAGATTGCTTCCCTTAACCTTGCTGCAGCAGTCACTCATCCATTAAACAACACCCTCTCCCTCCCTCCCTCCCCCACTCTTTCTACGGGAGGTGCGGTGTCTGCCACTGCAAAGCAGACCTCCCTCCATCTGCCGGGTCGTGTTGATCACCACTGGGCCTTTGGGATCTACGGCCTATTGCCCCACACTGATGCCCCAACCTTGTTGCTAGGACAAAGGTTAAAGACATATGACAGTGGAGCAATGTTGCATAAAATTAAAAGAATAGTCTCAGATAGGCTGTTCCAGACATGAAATTTCAAGCATTGTAATGATTTATAACATGTTTCTAACATGTTATAAATCATTACAATGCTTGAAATTTCAATAGAAAACAATACTGACAATGTTAACACTTACACTGCTTTCGCTTCTGTTTATTCACAGATACTAAGCGGCCTTCTCTTGTATTAAGTCAGCCTTACCCCTACAGTCTGCTCAGCTTTATGGACTTCACTGCGAAGCAAAAAGGAGACAACAGAGATGGCAAACAGGTACGTCCCTCTCATGATATGTACTGTACAGTTAGGCTGTGGTTTATTCATCATAAGGATGATAAAAGCCAGACTGGTCAGTAGGGGTCACTATTGTTCCAGTTAAGACGCATGACAGCATCTCTGATTTGGATGATCTCATTTCTGGTCCCTGAGGATTCGGCTTCATCACAACCCAGCAGGTGCCCTCTTTACTACCCTTCATCCCTCTCTCTCCTGTCCTCCAGCATAAACATCACTGCTTTTAAGATCTCCGCCTACAATGATGTCATTTTCCAAATATGAAAGCAGTATATCAGGGGATATGAATCAGTTGTATTGTATGTTGAAAGGCAGCGTTGAATGTGTGTGAAATACTACAGAATGCCGAAATTATTTATTTGTCAAAAATACAATATCTGATGCTGATGTATTCATCCTGTTATACTGCATAATTTACTGCTTTCTTGTTCATTGACCTGAACATTACACTGCTAAGCATTGTAGTCATTGCCAGGATATGACCAGGTAATTGTTTTACTGAGGTTTCATTGGATAATTGTTTAATTGGGATGCAGTCACCTAATTATTTTGTTCAAAATTGGGGACCATATGGAGCTTGGCAGGTGA